TCGTATCATTGGTCTATTTAGCCCCTCCTCTTCAGTAGGCTTTCTCCGCTTTCTTTGTGGCCCAGAGACTCTGTAGAAAACGTATAATTGGTCCTGGTCGTAATTTACCCATTGTCCTTGTGGATCATTTTCTGAAATTAAAGCAGAGATGTAAGCATAGGTTCGTAGAAATACAGAGCAGTTTCTCCTTCAGGATACGCCATTTGCTCGACTTCTATTAAAAAGCATAGGACCCTTTGAAGGCACATTAGGGCTTAGAGAAAGACAATCAAAGGGCTGCCATTCAAATTGTCTATTTTTTTACTCTCGAAGAGTCTGGCGTCAGTTAAATACTTCAAAGGGAGGGTAGAGATTGTTGACTGGCATAGATTTTGTCCGCGATTCGATCTTCGGATCTCTCATGTGCTAGCGGCGCCATTTGCCACTACTTGGTCCCACCTCTTTCATGAATTTTTCTCTTTCTCTCGAGTTTTTTTTCCGAACTATTGAATCTACTCCTTATCAAACTGCTCATTTGCGCTTGGGGCCTAGTTAATAGTGGCTACTTTTATGAGTTGCGTGGCGTATTTCGAAAAGTATTTGCGCTTCACATTTTCACAGCATTTTCCTATCTTCCTACCTTATCTTTTATCGGGCAATTTTCGGACCCGAGGCTATACTTGCTCTTTGTTCGCAGAATATATTGTACAGCAGCCTGGGATTGCCCCATTTAATAGAATTTCGTGGATTTTTCTTAGTATTTGTATGTTTTTATTTCTATATACGCTTATACAATTAATTGTTAGGGAAATATCCAGACAGGAACCTACTATTAATTGTGTTTTACTTGGATCGATAGAGATAAACAAAAGTGCCAGGGACTCTGCTGAAAGGGCTTTCTGTCTGGCAAGCTGTCTCATTCGCACCACGTGGCCCAATCGTCACCCAAATCGTTCCGGGAGTTCCGAAGCTTCCCAGATCCTTGTCATCCGTAGCCTCTTAGTTATTTATGATGTCCACAACGGTGGCTCGTGGCAGTCATGCATAAAGTTTGTCCGCCTAAAAAATGCGTGTGCGTCACAGAAGTATCCTCGTGGAATCGCCTCCGTTCGACGACACTCATCGGGTGTTGTTATGACTTTTTT